GAGCTGACCCTCGAGCACTACCAATTCACCGAGAAGGATCTTGACACCGAGTACACCCTTGGCCCCGGTATCCTGCCTCGCTTCAAGCGCGATGGTCGCGAGAAGATGACCCTCCGTGAGATCGTTGATGCTTGCGAGAGAATCTACTGCGGCTCCTTCGGTGTCGAGTTCATCCACATTCCTGACCGTGAGAAGTGCGACTGGCTTCGCGAGCGTCTCGAGGTCCCTACCCCCTTCAAGTACTCGGTTGACGAGAAGCGCCGTGTTCTGGACCGTCTCATCTGGAGTTCCAGCTTCGAGTCTTTCCTGGCCACCAAGTACCCCAACGACAAGCGATTCGGTCTTGAGGGTTGCGAAACCCTTGTTCCCGGTATGAAGGCTCTCATTGACCGCAGCGTCGACTATGGTGTGAAGGATATTGTCATTGGTATGCCCCATCGTGGTCGTCTCAACGTTCTCTCCAACGTCGTCCGAAAACCCAACGAGTCCATCTTCAGCGAGTTCGCTGGTACGACAGGTGCCGAGGATGAGGGCTCTGGTGATGTCAAGTACCATCTCGGTATGAACTTCGAGCGACCTACTCCTTCTGGTAAGCGTGTCCAGCTCTCTCTGGTCGCCAACCCTTCGCATCTGGAGGCCGAGGACCCCGTCGTCCTGGGCAAGACCCGCGCTATTCAGCACTACAACAACGACGAGTCGACTCACCGCACCGCCATGAGCGTTCTGCTCCACGGTGATGCTGCTTTTGCTGCTCAGGGTATCGTCTACGAGTGTCTCGGCTTCCACTCTCTCCCTGCCTTCTCTACCGGCGGTACCATCCATCTCGTCGTCAACAACCAGATTGGTTTCACCACCGACCCTCGATTCGCCCGCTCTACCGCCTACTGCACGGATATCGCCAAGGCCATCGATGCCCCCGTCTTCCACGTCAACGCCGATGATGTCGAGGCTGTCAACTTCGTCTGCCAGCTTGCCGCCGATTGGCGCGCCGAGTTCCAGCACGATGTCGTCATTGACCTCAACTGCTACCGAAAGCACGGCCACAACGAGACCGATCAGCCTTCCTTCACCCAGCCTCTCATGTACAAGCGCATCACTGGCAAGGAGCCCCAAATCGACATCTACGTCGATAAGCTGATCGAGGAGGGTTCCTTCACCAAGGAGGACATTGATGAGCACAAGCAGTGGGTTTGGGGCATGCTCGAGGAGAGCTTCACCAAGTCCAAGGACTACACTCCCACCTCCAAGGAATGGACCACCTCTGCTTGGAACGGCTTCAAGTCTCCCAAGGAGCTTGCCACCGAGGTCCTCGCCACCAACGAGACCGCTGTCAAGCCCCAGACTCTGGAGCATATTGGTGAGGCTATTGGAAGCGTTCCCGAGGGCTTCCAGGTTCACCGCAACCTGAAGCGAATTCTCACCAACCGAACCAAGTCTGTTGTTGAGGGTAAGAACATCGACATGTCCACTGCTGAGGCTCTTGCCTTTGGTTCTCTCGTCACTGAGGGTTACCATGTCCGTGTCTCCGGTCAGGATGTCGAGCGTGGTACTTTCTCTCAGCGCCATGCTGTCTTCCACGACCAGGAGACCGAGGATACCTACACTCCCCTCCAGCACCTGAGCAAGGACCAGGGCAAGTTTGTCATCTCCAACTCGTCCCTGAGTGAGTTCGGTGCTCTTGGCTTCGAGTACGGTTACTCTCTGTCCTCTCCCCATGCCCTCGTCATGTGGGAGGCTCAGTTCGGTGACTTTGCCAACAACGCTCAGTGCATCATTGACCAGTTCATCGCCTCCGGTGAGGTCAAGTGGATGCAGCGAACTGGTCTCGTCATGTCTCTGCCCCACGGTTATGATGGCCAGGGCCCTGAGCACTCTTCCGGTCGTCTCGAGCGATACCTCCAGCTCAGCAACGAGGATCCCCGAGAGTTCCCTACTGGTGAGAAGCTCGTGCGCCAACACCAGGACTGCAACATGCAGATTGCCTACATGACCTCTCCCGCCAACTTGTTCCACATTCTTCGCCGACAGATGCACCGACAGTACCGAAAGCGTGAGTTGACCTATTCCTTTCTTATCTACGACTTGTACTAACTCTGATTAGCCCTCGTTATCTTCTTCTCCAAGTCCCTGCTCCGACACCCTCTGGCCCGCAGCAACATTGAGGAGTTCACTGGTGAGAACGCTGGCTTCCAGTGGATCATCCCCGACCCTGAGCACGAGACCGGCGTTCTCAAGCCTCGTGAGGAGATTGACCGAGTCATTCTCTGCAGTGGTCAGGTCTGGGCTGCTCTCCACAAGTACCGTTCCGAGAACAACATCGACAACGTCGCCTTCACCCGCATTGAGCAGCTGAACCCCTTCCCCTGGCAACAACTCAAGGAGAACCTTGACCAGTACCCCAACGCCAAGACCATCGTCTGGGCCCAGGAGGAGCCTCTCAACGCTGGTGCCTGGAGCTTCACTCAGCCCCGTATTGAGACCCTGCTCAACAACACTGAGCACCACAACCGCAAGCACGTCATGTACGCCGGCCGCAACCCCAGCGCGTCGGTGGCCACTGGTCTCAAGTCGGTGCACAACAAGGAGGAGCAGGAGTTCCTCAAGATGGCTTTCACTGTGAAGCAGGACAAGCTCAAGGGCGAGTAAAGAAAGAAATGGACATTAGCAGGACAGGTTATGGGGAGGTAAACTGAATGGGATTGGTACTGGATGGATGAATGGGCTATTATACATGGACACTAATCGTTTGGGAGGGAAGAAGCAACTACAACAACTACAACAAAAGCCGTTGGATCTGGGGAGTAAGCAAGCAAGCTAAACTCTTCATGTAAACCACTTGTATCATACCCTCCTAGATGAAGGACACAGACATTTGCGCCCTGGGTTTCCATTAGCATTATGGGCCTTTGGAACGAACGACAAGGCATGACATCTTTTTTTTGTGCGATTGAGCTACATTACACTACGTTGCTGTTTTGGGATATACCGGCGATTCATGATATGATATACATGATATGATACAAACAAGGATATATCTCTTGACGACGGAACCTCGGGAGTTGATTGATATGCATGTTAATTTATTTATTGTGCGTGTGAATATTTCTTTTTTAACTGTCTTGGATTGATAGATGCACTGCTACCTTGGCGCATCGACCTCAACCTGCCACGGCCGCACTATCCCGTCATCGCCCGTAGTAACCAACATCTCCTCCTCGCCGCGACGCTCGGATCCGGCATCGTATCTCCGACACCAAGTAATGTGGTTGACCTCGTAGGGGCCGTGAGCTCCGGGGTGGGTCGTGAGCAATCTCCATGATGCAGATGCAGGTGCAGATGTAGATGCCGAAGATTGTTGGACTTCCTCGGCGTTGGTCGAGTTGTCCTTCCCCGGGATATCTCCGCCCGAGTCATCCTCCGTGTACAGCGCCACGACGCCGTCGCTTCCGGTGCTCGCCACGAGTCCCGTCTGCGCGCTCCAGGTTACCGAGTAGATGTCGCGGGTATGCGCCTTTGGAAGGATGGCTGTGCATGTCCACTCCTCCCGCAGGGACCGACGCATCGTGTTGGGGATGCCTCCCAGGGCACTCCTCGAACCTGTGCCTGTACCATCCTCATTGTCCTCCTCTTGCTGTAGCGTCCACACGCGAATCGTTCCGTCGGCAGAGAAAGTGAGTAGTCGTGGGAAGAGATCTCCTGGTCGTGGACGAGATTCCCATTGGATTCCCCAGACTGTGCCCTCGTGGCCCTCGAGGACGGCGACGCACACCCACTCCGCATCTCCGTCCTCGCGCCAGATGCGCACCGTGTTGTCGTAGCTAGCACTAGCGAGCACGTCGGATGAGTAGCTGCGTCTGGCGTTGCGGCCGGGCAGGTCCGGACACCATGCCACAGCTTTGACGTCTCCCTCGTGCTCGTTGAGGACGGCGATCGTCTCCCACTCGTCATCAGCCTCAGAGGCGCCAATGTCTTCCCAGATCCAGACCGACTTGTCGCGTGAGCAGGTCGCCAGGTAAGTACCCGAAGGGTTAAAAGCGCACGACTTGATCTCCGAGTCATGACCCTCCAGCACCAGCGTAAACTCCCAGTCCTTGTCACCAGGTGAGTCGTCGTCGCTATCGTCGTCGTTTTTCCTCCGCACGTCGCGCTGTGTCACCTCAACCTCTAGCTCACCACCCTGCTGCGCCGCCTCATCACCATCCCATCGCCAGATACCGGCCGTCGAGTCGAAGCTGCCCGTGACGAGGCACAGCCGGTGCGGGGGGAGATGAGGCTTCCATGCCGCCGAGCGGACGGAGCGGGTGTGGCCGCCGGTGAGGGTGCTGTGAGCCGAGGCTGTAGACAGGGAGAATACGGTGACGGCCTTGGAGTGGGCGGTCGCGAGGAGGGGCAGCGTCGGGTGAGGGATCGAGGCCCAGGCGCGTTCGTGGAGGTCGGGTTTGAAGGGTGGGAGGGCGATGATGCGGGCCGAGGTCGGCGACGTCATGATGGGCAGCCGGGGGCCTCGAAGTTTGGACGATTGAGATATTAACAGTGGCTGAGTGAATGCCTCAGAGTAAATTTCGAATTGGTGTCCGGTATATGCAGGAAAGAGAGCGTCGTGGTGCGCTGGTGGTCGAGTTCTAGTGGTGGTTTAGGTCCTGCTTTTCCCCTCCCTCTACCAAAAGTTTAGCAACGGGGTTGATTGATAAGATAGTGATCGCGCTACTGACAACCCCTCATCCGGTTCCGGGGGGAAACATTACAACACACGATATCTCACTGGATGGACAAACTATTTAGGCTCGGTTTTTCAATGTCCGAATTACTAGCTTAGCTTATTGCTTGGTAGGTATCCATTGCTGCTGCTACCTTTATGAGTCTATCCGTTAATCCGTGTCCAGTATCCATTGATCCCCATGTTGCCCAGTGTCCGTTGATCCCTATCCTGTGATGATCCCGCCGTCTATAATCCTTGTCTAATAAGTCATTCATTCGTATCTTAGAAACTGATCATGTCATCATGGCAAAGCTCGTGGTCGTCCAGCTCTCGCGGCTTTCATTCTGATCCATGACCAGATCTCCCTCACGTTCCCCCCGGGCTTGAGCTTTTGCTCCCGAGCCATCTCAAGTCCGCCCTTTCTGAATCCTCCCGGAAGAAGCGTCCATACTGCGATGATGAAGGCTAGTATTCCGAGGACGATAGGTTGCAAGACTTGAACACCAGTCTGTTGAGCGATGGCTCCAACTGCAAAGGGGCCGATGGCAGCGCCGCCTCCTCCGACAGCAGATGCGAACCCAAGCGCACTAATGTGGTAGTCGGTCGGAAGCAGCTTTGTCGCTGCAACAATCGCAGCAGGGAACAGAGGTCCTAGGAAGAAACCAAGGAGCATCACAAAGATTACCGAAGCTACAAAGTCTGGAACCAGCCAGTACAGTAGCTCGAGGAGAATGGAGAGGGCCAGGTAGATGGTGATGGCCAGCTTCTCACCGATGCGCTCCGTCACGAACCCGAGCACGACACGGCCCAGCGTGAGGCCCAGCCAGAAAAGAGTCACGGTGAGGCCCGCGAGGAAGGGCTTGGCGTGCCGGACCCGCAACATGAAGGTGACGATCCAACCGCCGAGACTGACCTCTGCCGCCACGTAACCCAGCAGGAAGATGGCGACTATCCAGGTTACGGGCTCCTTGACGGCCATGAGCGTCGTCACGCGGCTCTTGCCCTGCTGAGAGTGCATGCGTCGCTTGTACTCGTCGCCCGTCGCGCCCCAGAATGCGGTTGTGCCGATGATGAACTCGACGAATGTCAAACCGATCATGATGTAGAAGAAGGTGTACCATTCCAGGTTAGCTTCCGTTATCATGGCGGACGCGATCAGGGGGCTGATGGTGGCCCCGACGCCGTAGGATCCGTGGAGGAAGCCGAGCAGTTCGTTGGCGTGGTGCATGTTTCCGATCCAGGCGTTATAGGCGCTGTCCTGCACACCGTTTCCGAATCCAGTAAACATCATGACGCAGGGCAGCACGGGGAACGACGGGTGGAGGGCCATTGGGAGGTAGGCGAGGAGGCGGGTGATGGGTCCGATGAAGGCGGCGCCGCGTTGGCCAACGGTGTAGTGAATCCAGTTGTTGACGAGGGCGGCGACGATGTAGCCCGCAAAGGGCACGACGAACAAGGTCGACACAGTGGTGTAGTCGATGGAGTAGTAGGTCTCGATCTAAAGGGTTGGCTTGTTGGTGAGAGTGTTGGTGGTGGTCAGGGGGTTATATCAACTCACGTATGGCAAAAGAGCCTATAACACAGTCAGTTAAAGAAACGGCGATACAGGTTCATCCAGGGACACTTACACCAAGACATCCATCATTCATGCCCATTATTAGAAAGGATATGTTGGTCACGTAATAGCGGTAGGCATTAATCCGTGTGCTGTTCCAGCGCTCTGGTTCCGCGACCGAGTCTGCGCTGTCATCGCCTGAAAGGCAACCCGTTCCGGTTGGAGAGACGGGGGGTTTCTCTGGGTCATAGTCTAGGTGTAGGTGTTGGTTCGTCATCCGTCCCGCTGGGAACGTTTCGTATGCTGGACTCGGCATCGCCATTGTATCTAAGTTGGAGTAGAGACGATGATGAGAAGCTCTAGCAGCAATTCCCCTTCACGAGCGAGCAAAAGATATAATATACTCGCTCACACTCCAGTCCCGTGGGCAGCCAAGGGCCTAGCCGGGGAAGGGTCATGGGCCATCCATAGCTCTGTGAGGCCCGGTCAAGCTCGTCTCGCTAAACAGGAGTCACCCTCTCCGTACGTATTACAGATTTTTTCTCCTCTCCTCTCCTCGTCTCAACCTCCCCACATCACATATTGCAAGACGTCGTCAGGTAGAAATTGTGCCACGTCTTGGATAGCGGTGAATGTAAGGATCAACTGATGCAGTATATTAAAGCCTTACGGGACACGTCGAAGCGCCAGGGCTGGCGGGACGCATGACCCGACGTGGGATATCGCAGTCCTGTGGCCCTGTGCCTGTGCCTGTGCCTGTGCCCGTGCCTGTGCTCCGGCATTAGCATCGGAGCAGCAGGGCGGGTAAAAAAGCAAACAAGGGGGTGACGGAGACGCGAAAGCAACTGATCTAGCCGCCCGGGACAGGGGACGGGACAAAAGCAATGAGAATACCGCGATCCTACCACTGGGACAGGGGACGATGAAGAGTTTTTGCGACGTGAGCGGTGAGATCGGTGAAAGGATATGAGCAAAGGGCTGGGCAGAGAATTGAGTCGAGCAGATAAATACCCATGGGAGAGAATATGGAATTGTTTTAGAGTGTGAAACCTCGTAGCAAGCAAGTCTCCATATGTGAGGCAATCGTGAAATGAAACATGTTTGCCATATAACCCGGTTCCTACAGTATGATTAGAGTAAAATGTTGAAACCAACAGCGTCTCATCCGAACTGAACGGTTCGGACGAGACACGTCCTAGGCCCACTGTGAATGCTCCTTGGATATGCCTGGTAGTAGGGATGTGATGGATTACCACATTACCTGTCCAACGGGACGGGAACAACGACAGAGCAGTAAAACCAGCAACATGCCAGTCCCCCGTCTCATCAGTATCCGCATCCGCATCCGCGTCCGTGGATCGATGGCCTCTCCATTGCGGGTCTTGCACTCCTCCCAATTAGCTCCCGACACGGAGTGAGCCTCACTCTTCTTGCCCCGGATTGTTTTGTACGTGTAAGACAAGGTTGGGCATTCAGACGTCGGCAGAGGCTGCAAAATGTAACAAGACTACCGCAAAGCAGGTACCGCTAAACGAGAGACTAAGGCAGCAAGGATGCCGTGTCGGTGTCGGGAGGCGTCGCTCTCGTAACCGGGAAAAGCAATCAAAAAAGTGACGAGATGTTCGGAGAATTGCTTCTTCCGCAGCCATCTTTTCTCTTTTGAAAGAGACAAGATGAGGCTGATGACATGGGGCTGTGCAACCCGTTAGCTTCGCCACACGCGGGGCAGAGAGCGTGACGTGCCTACGTCATCGGCCTCGCCGATACAGTCTTGTATCTCCATCTTCTGAGCTCTTCCATCAGAGCGCCCAACGATGCGCCTCGTGCCCAACGAGAGCCTTTCTCTTGGATAGCTTGCCAAGCTGCGAAAAGAACCATCACCACGTGCTCAGTCGTTCCGTGGCTGTGCGAAACCTTGTCGTGACCGTTGTAGAAATCTATAACTCTATACATTGTCTCTCGGCATTGTCTCAACTTTGTTAAAACGACCATCCATAAACAGCCAGCCTCACTCGCAAGAATTACTTGAAAAAAACAATTGTCTCCATCATCAGATTCAACTTCCAAGCTCAACCCTGCAGGTGGCCCTTTCTTTCTTTGTCTGGGCTCCAGCTGACGTCGGCCCTCCATATTAAGCGCTGACTGAACTTGACTCCTCCTCCTCTGTCCAGCCACCCACGACATCTCCCTTCATTTTCAACCACTACAAACGAAACACTGACGTATCTTTTTCCTCCATCTCATCCAACCATCGACTTTTACCCACAGCAACAAAGCAAAAAGATCTGAAAAATCTGAAATGTCAAATTATTACGAGTACGAAGAGTACGCTTCTCGTCGTCGCCGCGACTTTTCACCTGACAACTACTCGGGTGGCGCCCCGGCTCCCAACCCCAACAACCCAGGCGCTCAAGGTCAGGGACCCCCTCCTCCTCCAGGAGCTCCCCCTTACGCCTCGACTTCACGCCTCGATGAGCAGTACGGCGCTGGTCCTCCCCGCGATCGCATGACCCTTGAGCCTCCCCCGAATCAGGCCCGTACCCGCTCCGTCCCTCCTCCCAATACCACAATGATCCGGCGATCCCGTTCCCGCTCCCGCCCTGGCTCCGTTACCTCCTCCCAAGAAGACTATGACGACGACCGTCGTCGCGACAGCCGTTCTCGCGGGCGTGGGCGCTCGCAGAGTCCTCTCTCCCGTGCTCGTGGCGCTGTTGAAGATAACTTCTCCAACTCGGCCACTGGCATCGGAGCTGGTCTCCTCGGCGCTGTCGTAGGTGGCCTCGTCGCCCGGGAGGCTTCTGATGCGGCTACCCGTCACAAGCACAAGACACGAGGATACGATGACGATAATGAGAATCGTACTCGTCTTGTTTCTACCATCCTCGGTGCCGTGGCCGGTGGTCTCGGCGCCAATGCCCTCGCCAACCGTGTCGAGGACTCGAGGGACCGAGACCGTCGTCGCCAGCTCGACTGGGAACGTGAGCGCAGCTACGTGCGGGAGGAGGAGATGCCGCGGTACGATCGCCGGAGATCTGGCGACAGGGATCGTGATTCCCGCAGCCGTGACCGGTATGATCGCGGCAGAGCGCTACCCGCAAACGATGACGAAGAGTATGACTTTGTCTATGACGACCCCCGCTACGACGACCGACAGCCCCAGCGGCGCAGGAGTGAGGACGCTCCGCGGTACCGGCAATAGTTTCTCTCTCTTGTATCCTCTCCTTTTGCCACGTTGACGGGCTCTTTCTTTTAACGACTACTTATGACTCTACGGCTGATTGTTAACCATCCAATGTTAAAACTATTTCAAATCTCTTGGTTGGGTAACTAGAACAGTTCCCTCCCTCTAAGGACACACGGAGAATACGTTTACTTGAAGAACATCTAATGAGGAATGATTTGATGCTATCTACATACCTGTACTTTATCTTTTGAATTGATACGTTATTCCGCGATCCGTCTTCGCGCTTTCTGTGGCTCACATGGATCAGAATGCAACTTCTTTCTGGTTGTACACTTGATATTAAAGAACTCATACAACAATCATACAGATCCCCAAACTCTATCTCTACCATCCTAGCATCCATCCACTTGCCTACTTTCCCAGTTTCCCAATTTCCCCTTATCCTCGCCTAGTTTGGTGTCCATGAGCAAGAAACTATGATCCTCCATCCTCAAAACTTCCCGAAACTAAGTTGATGTCTCCAATTGATACCATTAGCAAGACTCAGCCATTGACTCGTCTCTCCGCGTTCATTGTCCACTGGGAATCACCATGAGCGTGTGAGGCCCTGTCTCGTCCCCCCTGCAGCTCACGATGGTCACGACGATCCATCTCCCGTTCGACAATCACTTTGAAGAACTGCGCAATCTCGGCCAGTGCCATTTGCTGCGCATCCGAAATGCCAAGCATCTTGAACAGTGATTGCGCATCCACCAGCTGCTTCGCAATCACCGAGTCGGGCTGGCAAAAAGTGCGGATGCTCATGGCTCGCGCGTTAACCTTCATAGTATGCAAAAGCCCGCTGATCTCGACGGGGTCGGCCTGTCGACGGCCATAGAAGCGAAAGTCGTCGACGTGCAAATTGATCAGCTCGAGCTGCGTCTCGAGGTCGTACCGAAACCCAACAATCTTGGGACGGCCCTTGCTCTGCCAGGCATCAGCTACCTTTTTGAGCTTATCTGGAACCAAGCGACCCTTGTCTAGCTGCACCGTGATGTAATCGTTCAACGCAGTGCTCAAGTGAAACTCGAGCTCGCAGTAGAGAAGGCTCTGCTCTCTCGAGTCTAGAGAGACAGCCATCCGCGATGTTGGACGGGCTCGAACAGCAGGGTGCGTGCGACGATTGCTGTGGTGCAACTCTGTCTACATACGAGTCAGTGGCAGAATCTCTCCATGAGGTCTCAAACTTACCATGTCCTTTGCAATCTTCTTGATACTGTCAAGTATTCCCACCTTCTTCTGTGGTGCCTTTTTGGCCGCATCAACGCCCTTGTCGGTACGCTCAAGCCATCCATTGTCGCCAATCATTGTCTTTTCACCCTTCTTCACACTGGGAAAGTCGGGTCCCCTGAAGTACAACTGCAGTGGGGAGAAGAGGGGGGTGCTTGGAGCATTCTCGGCTCGGAGGTTGGCCACCTGTGGCATCGGTGGGTGCTGGACCTCGATAGGTCGAGACAATCGCATACCGTCCCCTGAGCTTTTGGATCGTCGGGGTCTGTTGATGAGGGGCTCCGGGTGACTTGCCGACTCTTTTATCATCGAGTGTTGGTGCACTTGAGCCCAGCCTTGGTATGCATTGACGACGGCAGCATTGACATGAGATCGTGACCGAGCATGGTGGCTGCCCCTAAGCTCCAGAGGCGATGGATGAGCAGTATCTGGGATGTTTGGCGAGTAGAAAGAAGAGGAGTCATCTTCAGTAACATGAAATTGCTCATACCTCCCTTGGCCCAGAGGAGAAACGGGGTCGGGAATGTCCTCCATCTCGGCTGGACGGGGAGCGCTTGCATTCTGTCGCCCAACTCCAAGCTGCAGTGGAGGAGGAGGAACCCTATGCCTACGCTCAGCGAGACTACCAGCGAATATATCCCGAGGGGAACCTTGGTGACGACCTGGCATTAGGTCGGAAAAGGTTGTAGAGTCCACCCCAGAGCCGTCATCCTCGCTCAGCGCCCAGCTTGGAGGGGCTTCGGAGCGGGAGGTTGATGACTTGTGCTTTCGCGGGGTTGACCTCGACGTCATTGTAGACTTTTTCTTGGATCTATCAGACTTGGATGGGCTGCTGCTGGCTTTACTACTGAATCTGCAGAGTGTCAGTCTCTTCCAAGCTGTGGTGTAGAACGGTGGCATACGCGTCGGTGATCTTGTCCATCTGACTCTCCGTCAGGTTCATGCGAATATGAAGCGGTTGCTGAACGAGGCGCTTGCGTGGGGATAAGGAGCGAGCCCTTTCTCCTGGTGATAAAGACTGAAAGCCGCCCCGGAGAGGAGTCGCGCAAAAGGTCGATGGATCAGAACGCCGGCCCCTGTCTTGGGTCGGGCTGTTGTGTTGCATCGAGTCCGGCCCGCGGCCTCCAGAGAGGGCCTGAAGAGACCAGTTCGATTCAAATCAATTAATCGGAGTGAATCATGCAAGCCGCTTGAAGCAATCATGCAAAGAGTTTGGAGTCCGGAGCAGGTGGTGTGGTTAGAAAGCCCAATGTGCAAATCACTGGTACTGCTGATGGGGCAAGATGAATGTAAACAAATCACGCTTTGTGACAGTGAATCAGAATTTGTCCTCGCCAGAAAAAAAACCATTGGTTTGGTTCAAAATCCGTTGCTGCTCCCGCCAGCTGGCGGCAACTGGCAAAAACAGCGAAGAGGTGGGTAGCAACTTCTGCCACTGGCAAGATCTGGGTACATAAAATCGACAGTAACCACATTCTTTCTACTCTTCGTCAATAATCGGTTCTTCAATTTTAGAGAGATGAGTGCAGAGGTCTCACCGTAAGGATGAGTCGCATGTGCCTTATATAGATCCCAACCTGACCATCATGGACGCTCAGCAGGACGCACATTTCCATCGATAATCCAGGCCGCTATCGAACCATAGCTGTGGTGTAAAGGGCCCTTGAAATCCACGTGAGCACACCAGTTCTCTCATCGCTGGGCCAGTTGCCAGGTCCATTGCTTTATCTTCAGCAACTGGTAGCTCCCTGATGAAAGGGGGCAGCGGCCCGCTGTCTGTGTACAGGCCAAACTTTCTCGCAAAATTAGCGTTCGGTATATCCCAGTCACTGACTCTGTGATTTGATCGCTGCTCGAGCATATCGTAGAAAGAGGTTGTCGCATCATAATCTAGGCGATTCGAGGGCCACTCAGGCTTCGGTAGGCGTATGGGAGACTTTTTGGCAACACGAAGCTTGTTCGTGATCTGCTCCATCTTACTCCGTCCCCTGAATAATCTCGAACTGAAGGGAAACCGGGGGGTGGTCGCATGTTTCTCGTCTGCCGGTTCACCAATGTCTCCTTTCCGTAAGAACTCTCCCAAATCAATCGACTTCTCTCCAACGAATCGTCCTGGGCAGTTGGTTTTCGAATTCCATTGCATCTCGTGAAATTCACTGGCAGTTATCTGACGAAACGGCCGTGTTCCCCCGTTGCGGGACGAGACGTACATGGTATACTCTATCACCCAGCTCTTCCGAGTCCGTATGCCGCTTGAGAAGAGCGATGACCTTTCAAGGGTAGGTGAGTAGTCAGAGAGCCGCGTTTGGTACCGGTGGGGGTGCTCTTTCCTCCACTTGGTCAGCATGGCAGTTGGGATAATTGTGGATGTGACCGTCGTGAGGTGCGGGACGTGAGGAAGCTCGAGATCTGCCTGTATCGCTTGTTAGGGCGAGCTTTGGTCAGGATGTTGCACATGTCCGCACATGTCTGTTCATGTGGTCGTGTCTCCAACGTTGGAACGCGGCACCTGGATCATCTGAATGTTGGCAATCAACCTCGATCATTTCGTAAAGTACGCCTGCCGCGAGCCCGAGATGCTCGTCGCCCATGTGATCTCTCAGCACCAGAAACACCTGGACCATGTTAGATACTGTTCATCGGTCAAGCATTTGGTTTACTCACGAGTCGGATACCGTCGCTGTATCGGTAATTGCGAGGGACGTGGGCACAGTATCTAACAAGAACGTTACGACATTCTTGAGGCTGGTTAGCTGAAGTGATTTAACGATCTCCTCGTTCGGTATGCTAACTGTTTTCATCAAACACTTGGATAGGATCGACCGGTTGGTGCCCAGGATTTGACGAAGACGGCTGTGAGATATTGGCCATTCCCTGGCTACAGGACCAGAAACTTCTTTCGAGCAGAATGCTGCTGTCTCGGAACAGGAACTGGACGATAAAGGGGCAGGGTGAATTACGACCCAGAGGTGAGGATTGGGAGGGCGCCATGTGAACTGAGGCGTGAGCAGGTGTTGTTTAGTTGGAGGCTTTCCTACGCTAGAGTCACTCGGGAGACGGAATGAACTTGGTGTAATGTGTGCACGTATGATTGAGGAAACAGCGTATCACGAGGGTGGAAGGTGTGCCCTTCCTATTTCAAAGCGTTGAAGCTGCCCGTACTTGAGATCTGGGTGACGCCTGCCAAGCACAACTCTAGGATCTCACCCCCACCAACCAATTTACTGCGGGTGTCTTGAGCCATCAAATATGAGCTCCCTCCCAGAAAATAAGCACTTGATATCTTCATGTCGATAACATGAAGCACATGTGAGGTGGGATGAGGAGAGTTGTAAGTCTCAATCGGTAGATAGACTCCAGGGTAGGCTAACGAGTGATGGAGAATTGAAAAATGAAACGCAACTCTACGCGAAACCAATCCAATTGAACTCTCAGAGTTTCTACGTTGCTTGATATGCAATTCCTCTGGAGACGTCTTATGGGTTTGGGGAGGAGGCAGTTGGGCTTGATAGGCTATGTCTCGTCGATGGTTTAGCGATGAGATGAGATCTCTGACCCCGTCTTCGAAGTCTTGGTCAATGTGGCACAGCAGATCGTGCAGATACTCCGCTTATCCGACCACAGTAACCGTCCTTTTACGAGATTAGAGCCACGAAATTGACAGGGCCAGGTTGTCAGCGTAAAGTACGGCGTATCATTGGAAGAGGTCGTCTTGTTGCATGCATGGAGTTCTTTGGCGTCCATCCGGCCCCTCATCTCCGCCACTTGTGCAGTAGCGCATGTTTGTCCAAGATAGAATCCAAGAGTTAAAGCAGTGTATGCACTAACAAAAACCATCCATGTCCCAATTATCCGCTCCCGAGACAACAGCCGTCCCTGTGGTTCAGTCCCGAAGTCAACTCCCGGATCCCAAAACGGCATCTGCGGCGGTGTCTCCCCCAGATACCCCACTGGAAACCGCGGAGGAGAGTGGGAGCCCATGACGCCTGTCTGGCTGGCAACGGCTACGGCAAGTGCGCTGGGATTTTACCCATGGTCATTGGCCTTGATGTTCAGGTGATGACAAGACAAGCAATGGCGGCGGTAGCGATTGCCTTCCCGAGGCCTAGGCCGAGACTTCTTCCATCTGGCCCAGCTGTGAGAGTGGTCCCTGGAGTCAGCAACCTCGTACCTAAACACTCTCCACATCCCGAGCTCGATGCCGTGATCAATTTCGTTGTCTCTGCGACCCGGTAAACCCAGCCTGTTCGGTTGCCTGCTCGGGAGCAATCCTCGGTTCGCTTCGAGCTGCTTCACACCGTTTCTGACAGCCAACCTACTACTACTATCTCGAGGCGATCTGTTGCTTGCATATATTACCCCATCCTGTCCCTCCGACTCACTCAGATCCAACACACCTGGCTACTCACGTCTAGTTACACAAGCCTGATATCTCTATACCACATTCACCATGGCACCAGAAGCAGACCGATCGCCCTACTATGATATTGGTAAATGAACCCACCCCCACCGGTCACAGTGCTCATACCTGACATCAATTCGTCTAGTCATTGTCGGAGCTGGGCCCGTTGGCCTCATGCTCTCAACATGTCTTGCCCGCTGGGGTTACAAGATAAAGCACATTGACAACAGAGCCGAGCCAACACCGACAGGTCGAGCTGACGGTATCCAACCACGTTCGCTGGATCTTCTCCGCAACATGGGCCTCAAGTCTGACATCATGGCTCACCACCCTGCCCGCGTGTACGAGGTTGCTTTCTGGGACCCTGCTTCAACAGGACGCGGCATTGTCCGGACGGGGACATGGGCGAGTTGCCCCGACTTTATCGACGCTCGCTACCCCTTCACAACCTTGCTTCACCAAGGTCTGATTGAACGGGTCTTCATCGCAGACTTGGAGAAGAATGGCGTGCAAATTCAACGTCCATGGACCATCAAGGGTTTCACATCGGATGAGCAGAAAAACCCCGAGTACCCTGTTACCGTCGAGCTGGAACATGTGGACGGAACAGCCCAGGAGACTCTGCATGCCAAGTATCTCTTTGGCGGCGAGGGTGCGAGGTCATTCATCAGGAACCAGCTTGGCATTGCAGTTCAGCATAAGGACCCCATTGCGCACGTCTGGGGAGTCATGGACGGCGTTGTGATCACCGACTTTCCTGACATCAAGGTGAATTTACTCCCCTAGATGTTCCATACTTCTTGCATTACTGACCAACTACCAAGATGAAATGCACAATCCACAGCGAGCACGGTTCTATCATGGTAATCCCCCGGGAGAACAACATGGTCCGCCTCTACATTCAGATTGCATCCTCGACAGACCCAGACTGGAACCCCAGGCGAACAGCTACCGAGGAGCAAGTGCAAGAATCAGCCAAGAAGATCATGCAACCATACTCCATCGAGTGGGAACGCGTGGAATGGTACTCGGTTTATCCTATCGGCCAAGGCATCTCGGATCGATACACTCTAGACCAGCGCGTGTTCCTCGGAGGCGATGCTTGCCATACCCATAGCGTAAGTTTCGTTCTCAGTCTATAATGATGATGATGATGATGCTAACATTAGAGTAGCCCAAGGCTGGCCAAGGCATGAACACCGCCTTCCTCGATGCCCAGAACCTCGCCTGGAAGATCCATGCTGTCGAGTCTGGTTTCGCAGATAAGGAGATCCTGAAGACCTATGAGACGGAGCGCAAGCATGTCGCCGAGTCCTTGCTCGACTTCGATAACCGATATGCCAAACTATTCTCGCAACGGCCCCCGGCGGCTGATGAAGTGCACGCAGCCTCGGCCAACCATGGCAGCAACCAAGAGGGCCAAGACAACGACTTTATCAAGACATTCAAAGAGTCGTGCGAGTTTACGAGCGGTTACGGAGTGTACTACAAGCCCAATGCCTTGAACTGGTCGCCTGAGCACGCAGTTCAATCGCCATTGGTTCACCCGAAGGGCACCAAGCTACGGACGGGACGTCTCTTCATCAACTCGAATGTGACAAGAGTGGTTGATGCCAATGTTGTGCATCTAGAACAGGAGGTCCCGCTGAACGGCGCATTCCGAATCTTTGTCTTTGCAGGTGTTCCCGAGACGACGCGCCAGGCACTCCAAGACTTTGCCAACAACCTCGGAAGTCAGCGATCATTCTACGCGACCTACCAGCGACCGGATCTGGACAAGGTCTCCTATCACGAGAAGCATCTCCCTCATAGCCGCTTTTTTACGCTGTGTACAATTTTCGCTTCCAAGCGATCCGGCATCGAGATCTCACGCGACGTGCCTGGAGTTCTTTCTCGATACCGAGACCACATTTACGCCGACGACCGATCGGACTCCCGGCTACCAAATGCGAAGGCTGAGGCACATGCCAAGATGGGCTTGGATGAGGAGCGCGGCGGAGTGGTAGTGGTCAGGCCAGATGGCTATGTGGGCATCGTGGTTAGCCTCGTCGAGGGCAGCGGGACCGTGGACGCACTGAACGAGTATTTCTCGTCTTTCTGCACGAAGAAGCTGGGACAGACGATGGCGCAACTGTAAGATGAGTTGGCGGTGATGGTAGACTTGGATAGGGACGGTGGGTTTTGGATATTGGCTGGTGAATGTTTACACGCATCTACGGAGATAAAGAAATAAGAACAGCATAACTATCAGATTCATGTATTAGAATCTATTCGTTGTTAAGCACGGAGCATTTGACCCGAAGGATGACGGTTGGACATGCGTGATGCATCGTCATACCTAGCAAAGGCTTGCATCTAACCTACAGACGAATATGTACAGTGGATGCATGATGCCGTCTAATTGGAATCTAAAGTAAGAGTCTTCTGTAGTTTCAGCCTTACCAAGTGTCGATCCCCAGTTTGATGGACTTGGGACACAGTACGTAGTTTCACCTCTACTCCTAGTGCGCGATGGATGTTTGGACGAGATGGATACGACCACTTCCCTTGGAGACCCCGACAGAGCGAGGGACCGAAGATCAGTAGATCAGGTACGTACTGTCCGTTCTGGGGTCAAATGATTGACCAATAGAAAAATAGAAACCTCAGGCTGGCGCGACTCTTCAAGTCGGGCCAATAATAATTGCCCATGAGCGCCACATTGGCCCCGCCCGAGCTGCCAGCGAGTGCTGCGCAACTACCACACGCAAACTTCACTGAAGCTTCGCTATTCTTTCACCTTACAAGCGACCTCTCCAGCGACTGCAGCGCCCCGACGACACACGCCATGGCCACTTCCATGACCTCAACGTCTCCGAATCGAGTAATACCAGAGCATTAAATGCTCAGCGAATCATACACGTCATTATTATTGACTGATCCCGTCGGCGCGTCCTCGCGCGGGCGAGACTAAATTGGTCGACGCGCCTCGACCTCCCCTCCTGCTTCTCCTCTCTCCTTCATCATCAGGAACCACAACCGCAGTTTCGATTCACCATCATTGCGCTTTCGCATCCAAATCAACTTCAATTCTCGTAAGATAACCCGCTCTGGCTTATTCGCTGCTTCTCGTTTGAGTCACTACACTTTTTGCTCTCGCCACTGCATTGCACTGTCAATCACTGTCAAGCACCTGCAGCTTTGTTTGCTCTTGCCTTTATTGCTGTCTGCGACTGCATCCCAACAATCTTCTCTTCTCTTCAAACTCGCTTTGTCTACGATTCGGAAGCTATCCTCTATCATCTTCACTGATTTGGGATTCGCTCCTGCTTTCGTCAAACCAGTTTCCACTTCTCTTCACTTCACTTCTTGATACACTCTTCACTTCACACTTTCCATTTTTGCGCCTGTCTTTGTCGCACCTTCACGATGTCTTTTTCACCATACGCTCGCGTTGTCATCCACAACTCCGCTGACATTAACGGCTGCCCAAGACCTGCGTGGCTTCGGAATCATCCCATCCTTCCAAAGCAACGTCGCTCTCGGGCTGTTTCTAAGCAGGCGCCCCCAGCTCCTCAGGAACCAACACCACCACCCATCACACCTCCCAGACGTATCAGACGACCCAATAGTCGTCTTCAGATCAACAGCCCGATACCTCGCACCGATACACTCGCCGATCCCACAGTTCGCGCCCGATTTGGTGTCACCGACTCTCCCATCCCATTCAATCTTCCGCCTCGCCCATCGCGAAAAGCGCCCAAGACTCCCGCACCTCCCGCGAATCCTGCTGTTTCCGATTCAAACTTGGTTGTTGTCAATGGCATCCAAACCCGCAAGCGCCACGCCGAAGACACCGAAATCGAACTTGTTGCCGCAGTCAACGGCATCACAGACACTTCCCACCCGATTGTTACTATTCGAGAAGGCGAGACCGTTCCCAACGTGGAACCTGGCCAGCAGGCCCATGTAATTCCTTCCTTTCTATTATGTTGGATTCGTTACTGATATGCTTGGCAGAATTCATACCGTATGCTCGGGTTTCTACCAGGCCCCCGATCCCTTACCAGGATGATATCCAGCATTTATTCGGCCGTTTCCGGCCTGGGGGACAAGATCGGCAGAATCAGTACGCCATCACCTCTGACTCGACTCTCAGGCATGCGCTGACCCGTGTTGTAGTAAATCCTCAGTCGTATCGAGTCGCCGAGTTCCGCTCCTATTTAAACGACAAACAAGTTACCAACAAGCGTATCAAGATCACCAGCGACCAAGATGACGGCAAACCTGAGAGCGCCGCTCGCGGCGATGTTGCTCCTGACGTTGATGGATTGCGATGGGTTGATCGCGATGGCCTGGGCGCCTTGATGGACGAGTACAAACTCTTTGTCAGAGCTATCGCCAGAGTCTGGGACTGTCTTTCTAAGGGAAGTCGGACGGACGCGAACAAAGAACTGGAACCCCTGCGCATCTTTCTGGCTGACAATGCGAGCGACCGTGCCATGTTGAGTAATGGCGACGGTCACGACCTTTGCGAACTTTTCGCCCTGCAATTCAAGCGGGCTTTCGAATTCCTGGACAGTATCTACGAAATTGGCATCATTGTCAAAATCCGAGACGGCAACGAGACTGTTCCTACCGTTCTGGACTACAAACTCTCACCGACTGCTATCGAGAACATGACCTCGATCAAGAACTTCTTGTCTGCCCCAGCACTTCCTGTCGTTTGCAAGGATATCCTGCAGAAGCACAACGAACTCGAATCTATGGTATCTCAGGCTTTCCTGAACACCATCATACTTGACCTCGAGGCCATCATTCGCAACATTCCAGCCCCAAGCTACGTTCTCTCCAAAGATTATCGTGACAGGCTTCAGGCTACCTTCCCCCCGCCCCCACGAACTGATTTGGACACACATCTTCTACTCCCGGGGTCTTTCCCCGATTTTGATGAGCTTAAGGAGCCTGTCGAAGCGCCAACTACGCCCTCTGTTGAAGAACCCCCCAGAGAGCCGATAAAGGTTGAGCCACCTCAGCCTGAGTTTACACCACCCGAAATCCCTCGCCCCAACTTCTCAAAGACCGACTTCATTCGCACAGACATTGTCAAGAAGACTATTGACCGGATAACATCCGAAGACTACAGATCGACCTTTTACGAAGACAGTGAGGAGCATCGTGCAATCAAGGACTCCTACATCACCGACTTTGAACCCAAGGTTCCCCTTACTGCTAAGGATGTGGGATCTCTCAAGTCGATTTTGCGAAACCGAAGGAAGCACCCTTCCAAAGTCACACCCAAGCGGCTGGGAATAACACGCCCACCCAAGTCTGTGCGCTTCACCGATTCTACTCTTAGCCCCCGACAACGGACGCACATGGGACTTGATGTTCCCAAACGCATCAGACACGACCAAAAAGGAGAGCCAGTTGCGCCCTCCGAAGAATTCCAAGAAAACCGACCTGCCTGGGCGCGTAGATGGCTCAACCTCCCATCTGTCCCAAGCAATGAGCCATCCAAAGACCGTATCCTCCCTACATTTCGTCGTCTTGAAGAGAAAGACGGACTTGACCCTACTGCTCGTATCAATGAGCTATTTGCCCTCCCCTCGCTCAAGCTGCTTGAAATTAGTGATGATTCAAGGGCGGGAATAGAATTCCAGAAAGAGCAGGCTGCGTTGAAGGCTGCCGAAGAGGCACGCCTAGCAGCCGAGGCAGAGAGGCGAGAGGCCGAGGAAAAGGCTCGAAAGGAGCTTGAGGAACGTCTTGCTCGATCTGGTGGACTACGGGTGCCCATCCAACCATTTGTTACACCTGTATCTGCATCATGGCAGACAAGGGCACAGGACACGCTCCGTGCCGCCACTACAACTACCCTCGCAAAGACGATTGAGGGAGTTGATTTGCGTCGCCACGACTTTGCCAAGGTGGTTTCTTCTACAGAGTGGCTCAACGACGAGATCGTTAACGGATCTCTCATGTGGCTCGACCAAGCCATTAACTCGGCTGCTGGCATTAAGGATGTCAAGAGAGCCACGCGGAAGTGTTTGACCATGTCGTCATTCTTCTTCAAGAGACTCCAAGACCAGGGAGTAGCACGAACTCAGCGAACCCTTCGGAGATACGGAGTTGAGAAGAGGAACTTCCTTGATGTCGACACCATCCTACTCCCCATATGCGAGCGCGCTCACTGGACGCTGCTTGTTGTCCGCCCATCAAAGCGGACTGTGGCCCATATGGACTCTTTGAATTCGCGAGGCAACCCAGCCTACACCAACCTAGCTGTGTCATGGCTCAAGGATGTTTTGGAGGATAAGTTCATTAAGGATGAATGGAAGGTGATCGTCCACCAGGCTCCACTGCAGAATAACGGCCATGACTGCGGAGTTCACACCATCACAAACGCCATGTGCGTCGCTCTGGGTCTCAGCCCCGTCGACTCGTATACGGCAAGCGACATGCCTGCGCAGCGGATCCGCATCGCATGTATGCTACTCAACGGCGGCTTCAAGGGAGAATTCGATTTACGAGTATATTAGTATCGATCATTGGCTTACAGTCCATCATGGCTTATCACTGTATGACTTATGCAGGCGTTTCGAGGCACAGAGTGCGGTGGCCTCTGTTGGATGGTACCTGGTGTTTTGGGACGATACCACGAGCAGACAGTTGCATAACTTTGGCGTTTATCTTTTTTTTTTTTTTTTTTGGATGAGATGGATTGCATGAGAGAGGAAAAGCTCGCCAGGAAGGCTTGAGCATGTTGTTTGAATGAGTTGACAAGAGGTCGGCATGGGGGGACAACAGTACAGTTTTGAGATTTTGTCTGTAGCAGATGAGAGAGAGGCAGAGGCCAAGAGAGTGGATGAGTAGTTGGATCTGGTCCCCCAGTAAGAGAGAGAGAGAGAGCTTGAATACAGAATTCAGCTGTTGACGAATTTCTTGGCTGCATATCTCGTGTGATGTCTTTCCATGCCACGTCCTTGTTGTCATTGGCGCTATCAATTACGATTCGTCATGTGAAGGATGCTGAAGCCGTCACCAACAGGCTGTCGTGATATGGCGTTTTTGGACACATGGACAGGACAACAGGGTATACGATAGCCTACCTCAGGGCAAGGCATACCACGCGCCAAAGCACCGACTCTGGATGCCTAGACGGTGGTAAGCTATCTGCACCCTCCAACAACATCCATCCTTGACACAGGCATGACAACGTCTTGAAACAAAGGAGCCGCATACCCACGAGCCAACACCCATGACCATGGTTGGCGGGGAATTACTCATTCCGTTACGTACACAAAGAGGCAGACCCAGGGACCTGTCATGCTCCGCGTAAGCGAGGTATGAGGCAGTGAAGAGCCTCAAAGGACCAGCGGGCTTTGTTCCTAGGAGGAGTGTCTTCCCATAGGTGGATAGCAACGGTGGCACGTGGGTCCCTGGCCGTGAACGGGATGCGCCAAGGATGTGATTGTTGAGGTCAGAGGTTTCTTTCTTGTCTCTTCTCCCATTTCAATGCATGTGCTGGGGTTAGTCTGCTGGAATTAACTCGTGCGTATGTAATATGTAAGACGTGCTCTCGCCTGATGCTGGTGGATAGCTGGCCCGGCCCCCCTCTTCTCGAAGGAACAAAGAATATAGTTTCTTGGCTTCTTCGTCTTGGGACGGAGCTGATAACCGGCACCGCTGCCGAGACACGAAGGTAAAGACGAGAGACACCAGAACATCAAGGTGGGCCATTGACTACAAAGCCAGCACGGTTCAAGAGTTTGCACATTACAAGGTCAGGAATGCCTTTGGCGAACGGGGCTTGATACGGGGAGGTCTAGGTAGTGACGTTGGTGGAGAGGTGGAGAATAAACGCCATTTTCGAGAAAGTTCGACAGTTGCTTCTAGAAGGGAAGACAATAAGGGCAGGAGACTGGGCCAAGGGCCAGACTGTTGAAGGCTTCACGGCGTCAAAGAGCCAAAAGTTTGTATGGTACCAGTGCCAGGGGAACGAGTTCTTGTGAAGCCAAGGCCCCTGAAGAGCTGGGAGGCTGTACTAGAGCAACTGGTTGGGTCTTCCCTCTCAAGCCGTCAAATGTTGGATGAAAAGTTTGCGTCTAGTCTTCCGAAAACCCATCTCGTGGGTTGCACCAATGCTTGTTTGCTTGCCAAGTTACATGTTAGCTCACCGGTGTTAGTTGTTGAATATGGCTCCGCAAACAAGGCGTTGTGGCACCAAATGCCCATCCGAAAACGCTCATAGTTGCGAACTGCTCTTCGGCATGAACTGCAAGTTTGCCACAAGGGACAGGGACACAAGGCGCGAGGCGACAAAGCCATCTGTATCTCGGTACCGCCCTCCAATCACACACCGTCTTGAAGACGAAAGAGCGCTTCTAGACGACTACTATGTGAGCGGGATCGTTCCGTGGTGGGTGCTCAATGGGGGCACGGGCAAAAGATGGCTCATCATGTCGGAGATTGGGAGTTTGCCCAAGTCTGTTGCGATGGGGTGGGCGTGCGTGGACGACTCAAGTAGGCCCTTGCCGGCCTGGCCGACTCGTGGGTATACCCTCAAGAGCTGAGTCTCAAGATGCTGAGCTATTGTCAGGACCCAAGCTCCTGGGCAACCGTCGTCCGCCATCGCCGATCCCTGAATCCATCTGCCGATGCGCCGAGATCGTAACGGCGACCCAAGGGATGGGAATCAAGTGTTGCGCGGACCTGGCGTAAACCGCGCCATGGGGTCGCCTAGCTTTCATGCCAGCAGTGCTAGATGCCTTCTCGATAGGCACCTGTCAGAAACCCCCTCCGTTGACGTCTGTATTCGGTTCTGACTGCATCCCTGGCTTGCCGCTTGCTTGTCCAAGTCCCGTCCGTCGGGTCGCGGACCGTCACGGCAGTGGACTAATAGCTGGACACGAAGTCAGTTGTGTCGCAGAATAGAGACAAGCGGCGTCCGTATGGATATGCCGAGGGAGAGAGAAAAAAAAAACAAAAAAACCAATAGTTCCAAAAAAGCCCCGGGCGTTAAAAAAAAAAGTCTTCTAGAATACGCGGAGAAGATCACATCGGAATTGGCTGAATCTGGGTCCGTGGAGGGTCTCTGAAAGAACTACCGTGAGAACAACCGGGTCTTGTCGGCGCCGCGTAGGATGATTGTGGCAGGTTTTTTTTTCTCAGTCGTCTCCGTGGTTTGGTGGTGAGGCGATGGAGACACGGCGAGGCCGGTTGGATGAACGAACGGTTGTCGTGTGGTGTCACCATCCGACAAGGGGTTAAAACACAAGGGCATGAAGTGGTGTGGTCCGTGTCAACGGCCAACTGGCTCGTTTCGCCAGATCGGGAAAACTTCTAGAACCCGAACGCCACTCGGGTGATTGCTTCTAGAACGATTCCGACAGGCCTTCTATTAGGCTTCCATCAGGCTTCCAGAACAAGCAAATCTGGCCAAGAACGGTGAGATGGGTCCAGGGGCAGCCATCAACTTGTCGTGGCACCCCCAACAAGGCGCCGTCACCCTATTGTCGTGGCCTGTGCTTTGTTGTGTGATGCTGCTCGGGTTTGATACGTCGTACAAGACCCGAGGTTGCTAGAGAGCCAACCAACAACCCACGGCCCGTTGCAAGAGTTGGCAAACAAGCACGGCTTCCTGCATGCCTAGACCCCTGGCACCTTCAACCCGTTGTTGCACACAGGGCCTCGATCTTTCTAGACCTGCCAACAATACGGGATTGCTGCTCCCGTCTGGTTCACCACTGCCAAGGCATCCCGAGAGATGGAGCGCTGTTGAGGAATGAACTCTTGTACTGTGGCTGGGATGCGCGGAAGCTGACTGGTACAGCATGGCTGCTGTATGTATCACCTCACCAGACAACTCCTGCCGTCCTTGGCAGCCCGGGCGGCTTGGCCAGGTTGGCGCATGCTGAGTAAAGGCAGCTTTCAATATCCAATCCGACTTGTCATCCCCGAGACGAGTGGCTGGCTGTCCGCTCAAGCATGCAACCAGAGCTTAATCCAAAGAGGAGTCGGTCTCCGGTATGTAAGGCAGCCTTTCATATGGCAAACGAGACCCTGATCCACCAAAGTTAGAACGGAATCCTGGACCAGTCAAATCATAGGACCGAGACCTGTCATCCGGAAATGAAACTTGGGCACATGACAGGTGTGTTGGTGTGTGTGGGTTTCTTTCAGAGTCACCATCTTGCCCGTTTGCGAATCGACGATCGGCAGGACTATCCTGTATGAGAAGGCTTGGTCTCAGCCCTGTGTCACTTTTGTGATGGCCTTGTCACACCGGAAACCGTTTGCCTTGATCCAAGTTGAAGGATGGGATGACGGCATGGTCCATTCCAACACACTGTTCACATTCTTTCCTGCTCCAGGATGTGAAACAAGGAATCGCAGGAGCAGTTGGCAGTTTATGAGGTTGCAATTGTCGATTCCATTGTCTTGCCAGTGGATCGACACTGATCAATCCGTCAAGGTTGAAGCTATCTTGCGTCAGTTGTGTAACTGGGTTCTCGTCCTGGGCCACCTACTCACATTGCCGGGGATAGTGTATCATCGCCTTATCCATATTGTAGGCCCCTGCGGCCAAGAGCATCCTCTGGACTATATCGCGCCACAATTGATCAGGCGTGGTGGTGAGCTCGGGAAGAGCCTCACCGACAAGTGCCGATCCTGGTGGAAACCATCGACAGGAGAAAGCTTAGGTGGTGTCAAGAAAAGCTTCATCGCGTGCTTCGACGTTGCGGCACACTGCGGCTTCTTGAAACATGGATTCCAGTAGCCGGCCCAGTCGGTGTTGTGGGTTGATGGGGCAGTCATGGGTGCACGGCTTCACGCTCATCATGAGATCAGACATGGAACGGCAACGGAGTTGGGCCACCGGTCTGCCACCATTGGGTGGACAGTCGCCGCGATCCCGACAGCACCCATCGACCCCATCTTCTCCAGTCCAAGCCTTTCAAGGTGTTTGCTGGAGTTGAGGTGGTGAAGGGGAAGGTGGAGAGAGACGGCCCAGTCGCTTGCCGCTATGACACATATCTGGGCCATGGAAAGATTACCATGGCAAGGATGGGGGAGATTCTGTTGCTAAGAATTGTTCGATTTGAGACCCATCTGATGCCGCAATCGCTCGCCTAAGCGCGGTTATTCATGGTGTTTGCTGTGTCGTCCCTGGGCGAATCTCCAACCTGTTCGCACACCTGGCTGTCGCTGTCGCAATTGGTTGTCTCAATGGAGAGACTTGAGACTAGTAAGAGGTCTGCAGTTGCACGGGTTCTGAACGGCTCGGCAACTCACAGAGACATGCAGTGATGGTCGTGATACGCGATTCGGTGTATGGGCCTGTTGCGGTTCGGAGCGAAGTCGGCCACGGGGTGACGGGACGCGCCGAGCTGTTCACCATCCTTCACCGTCATTTCCAGGGGCTGACGAATTACGGAGTATAGCATATTGTGGGTTGCCATCCTGGTGCACTATGTATCATCACCAAGGCGACAAATGATGTAGCTGACTGTTTTCCCTCCTCGTGCGAATAGTGTACTCGCTGACTTGGACCAACGCCGCAAACCCAAACGGCCGGAAAGGATGGGATGGGATGACGAGCCGTAAGCAATCGCATCCACTCCCCCAATGCCAATGTCCCGGGACCAGAGTGATGGTTAACGAGGCGCTGAGTGCCGAGAGGAGGCGCCCACATTGGAGAAGTGCCCTTTAGCCCGCTTGGAGAAGCGGGCGTTGCCCATCTTCTCCTCACGAGAGATCAGAGACGACAGAGCCAGTCAGGCTCAGCGAGAGGTGGGAATGGTACGGCAGGGGAGGCCAGGAAACATCCCTAGTGCTCATCGCGATCGGCCGAGCTACCGTCCTCTAGCGGCAAAGCCAAGATGGTTTGGGGGCCGGGGGCCCAGTCAAGGCGCGTCGCTATTCGTGCTGTCTCGGCCTCGCGCTGCACGGCAAGGGGCCCATGACTGTGAGGCCCACCCCTGAGAGGTTCCTGGAGGGTGCCACTTGGCGCCATGATGGCCCTGAACAGCGCAGGCCCACGGGGTGCTTGGTTAGGACACAGAAAAACAGGCCTGGTGCTGTGATCCGGCGGAGATGGCAGGAAAACAGCGCCAAGCCGAGACAAGAGAAGGGCGGCGGCGGCGGCTAACGATGACAAGCTGAGATTGACCCGAGCAAAACGAGAAACCTTTCCCCAGGGTTCATGGCCTCATCGTCCTATGGTCTTGGCCGATGCGAGCGTTTATGGCTGGCTGCTGTAGAGGTTATTGGGTCGGAGACTCCCATGTCTTTGACGGAAGGAAAGGAGTGGTGACGGCGATGATGAAAGGGCGCTGGCTGTGCTATGGCCGTTGCAGCATGTAGGTCTGGGAGATGGTGTTTGATTTGCCGCAGCGTACCATTAGGTTGAGACACAGGAGGTGATGTTATTGAAAGGGGAGCAGGATCGTCCCTTTGCACGTGAGGATAGCGCTCTGGTGCAGGCGTGACGCAGTGATCCTGCCCAAAAAGACACCTAGCGGTCGATGACGATCTTGGGACTTGAAGATCACAGGCTAACTAAGTGAAAATCTCCTATTTCCGAGTTGGGACCCTTTGGACGTGCAGCTCTCTGACGTCTGTGTACGCACGTCTCGTTAACGCCATCAACTCTTTTCAGATGGAAGTTGAGTTGTGAATGACCCGACTCCCTGATTACATATGTCGATATTGCTAAGCAGAGGACAACTGCGCGGTTGACTGTGCCAATTGCTACACGGCCCACGTACGCACACTACCTTGGAGGCGTCGACTAAGGCGGCGTTTATCTGCAAATGTTGCTGAATCCCTGGCTCACCCAGATTACAAAAGGGCAATTGGGGTGAGAGCGTGCGGGGAACGCGCCCTTCCTTGGACTTCTTGGAACTGGATTGGTTCTGGTTACCACTAGTCCCCACACCATCGCCTGTGCAGCCCGATCTCCGCGTCCATGTTACTCAGACCTCTTGGGTGGCTTTCGGGCTTCCATGGCGACGAAAAGGGAGGATTGGGAGAATGTGCTGGACGATAGCGAGACAAACAGTCTAGGACAAGGACTGCAACAAGAGCGGGATGGGCAAACTTCATTCAGCTTAGGGACTGGGACTCGCAGCCTGATCCAGTTGGCCTCCACCATTGGCCCCCTTCGCGCCCTTCTAGCGTCCTTCTAGTTGACCATCTCCACTGCCAGTCCCTGTCGTTTTCCTTGTCATGACCTTGTTCTGAATCTCACCCTTTCTGTGTCATGTTCTTCAGGCCCGGCCCACCAGGTAAGTGGCTTCGCCGGGCTGGCTTGACGAACGAACCCTTGTGGGATCAACGTGGTGCCCGATCGTATTCCCGTAGGACGAGACAGACGAGCTCGCTCAGACGAAAGCATGCATGTTTGCATATCGTGTGGAGCATCAATGATCGCCTCTGTATCCATGCCATGGCATCGTCGTGGTTTTATGTTGTTCGTCTTACCGATGGCTGCTCACACGTCTGTTTTTTCTCGTGCTGCTTGTTTGGTCCTTGGCTGCGTCACGGTCCGGCCACACTGATTCGCCACACTCGCCTCGGACCTGCCAGCGCTCGAGCCTTACCTGTTGTTGTGTAGGCGCCTTACATAATCGCACGAGCGCCAACATAGCTCTCGGCGTTGTCCGTGACTTGCCTGACTGAAGATATTCGTCCGGGATTGACTGAACTTTTTCCCTTCACGAGCCATCATGGCCCAAGTCAATTCGGCCACGTGCCTGAACCAGAAGCGATGTCCTCCGTTCTCCTCCGCGTCGTCAGGTTGTTTGGCTTTTCCGTCGACGTTGGATGATGTGATGGATTAGGGAATTCTGCGAGCCTGCTACAGTATCCATCGCCCACTTAGATCTCACCCCAGTGGCCGAATTCCCCGCTGAGACGGACAGGAGCAAGAGAGGACGGGACACGTACCCGTGCACTGCCGTTGGCTCTCTGGATAGGCATTGGAATAGACTACCCCTTTACCAATCGAGGAAGCCTTACACCGTAGTAGTGGCACACTCTCAGTGCTTTGGTGTCTTCCTGGTCAAAGAAAAGGGAACAAAAAGAACCACTGGATGCCTTCCTCACCCTACCCCCCTTCAAGCGCCAGGCTGCGAACCGAGCCCCTGTTCAAGTACCCATAATGGAGCAAGCTGCTGTGTGACCCCTGCTGGCCCTGACAGTCACCAGCCCTCGCGAGCCAAGCAATCAGCCTGGGCAGCCAACCTGTGCCGACGGGATGCTCGACAGGGGTACGTACCTTACGTATGGAGATCCATCCCGTGCAATGCAATGAATTTGATCTGTGTGGAGTCATGCCGACCATCGTGGCTTGGATAGTTCATGGGTTCTATTGGCTGTGTCGGGGTTGGCTTCTGGCCCTTCCCTTCCTTGCACCTTCCATCGTCGTCGTTGTCGCCGCCACCGTTCGCCGCCGCCGCCTCCGCCTCCACCTCCGCCTGGCAGGCTGTCTCTGTCTGGTCCCTCTGTTTCCGGTCGCGTCTGGGTTTAATCGACTTTTTTTTTTCTCCCTTTCCCTTCTTTGCGGGTTGTTCTTACGTAGGCTTGGCACATGCCCGCACCCCCTTACGGTAACCCGGTCGTCTCCCGATCGTCTGGTTTCCTCGCTCCCTCCGCTGCAACCGTACCCTCCACTCGCACCTGCCGTCCCTCCCTCTTGCCTGTTGTTGACGTCGTTTTGGTTAAACACACACCTGCCTCTCCACTGACTCCTACTCCTACCTATCCTGGTTTGTTCTGTGTATCCCGTCCTCTTCATCTCCACATCCACCTCCACCCTTGGCTTCTTTCTGTCCCGACTGGCTTCTCCTCATTCACCAATGGTCAGGAAAAAAGGCGAAGAAAAAAAAAATCCCATCGGGTGTCTTCTGCTTAAAATAAGCTCGGCCCCAACCCCCGTCACCCATTCTGGTCGCCTTCCTTTTTCTGGGTCTGTTCCCGCAAATCACGAGTGACGACACACAACCTCTACAGCTTCGCTCTTGACCATCAGGCACATTCATCAACATTGCCTGTCTCATTCTCATCGCAATTGTCCCACAGGCGGTAAACGCATCATCAACATACCTGATCGCATCGCTCCACGCTTCAACTGTAAACTACTTTCCCCTCTCTCCCCCGAAGATCCCAAACCCTAAATCAGGACAAAGCAGCCAACCAGCCAGAAGATCTGCCGCCTTCGACTGAACCTTAGCGCTCCTCCGACGCCGTGCATACGCCCGCTGCGCTTACGCTCTTTTGTCCTTCACCTCTGCCTTCACCTTGGGTCTGGACCGTTATTACACTTTGGATTCCCCAGGTCCGCATTCCTGACACCGACTGTGTCTCTTTTCCCAGCCAGGTCTCTCGCTCCAGACATTCGGCTGTCCGCTCGATAGACGCACGACCGACTCCACGCCACTAAACCTTCGTCGTCTTCGTCCAACCTTGACATTCTCGCTCCTCTCGATCCTCTCTGGTTCATGCCAAGCCCTCTGGCATAACCCACCATCCGCGATCCGTCTGCGACCTGTCCCGCCGCCTACCGACTCCATTCGCTGGCTTGCGGCTTCCACGACCATCGCATTCCAGTCCCTTGGGACCTCCTAGCAACCTCGGCACCTCAAGTTCGACGGCCTCGACCCAACCTTGCGCCATCACCGCTTCGGGACTGATAGCCCTTCAAACGTCACGCCGGCCAACCCCTAGAGAGCTGCTTTGCCATCTCGTCCCGGCACCAATTCCGCTCTCCGTCCTGTTCGTTAGGACATTTCGCTCCTTTGTTCCGCGATTCGTCCCTGGACCCTCGTTGTTGGAACCCTCTAAACCCAATTTTGGTTCCTTGTGGTGCGGATTGACGCCTTAGCAAAGCCACCTTCCTCCGCATATCTGTCGTCACCATTGCGGCCGTCTCTGAGCATACTCCTCTTTGATCTACATCGACAAGCGCTCCCCTGGCCTTATCGTCCCTGCGGCAGCCCTACTTCTAGACTCGGCGCCTCTTTCTGCCTCCAACATATCAACATCTACACCAGTCTAACTGCGTCAGACATCGATTACCCGCTTCGGCCGACACCTCCTTCTCCACTCCGTCTGCATCCATATTACTTGGACTGGCCCCCTCCCTCATAAACGCTTCAGAACTTCGATTCGTTCTTCTACTTGACCTTTTCACCATTCTGCCACACGGCTTGGGACGCACCAGAGCGCCCCAACCCTAGAATGATGGGCTTGTCGCGTTCGCGGAGGCAATCTCCCGAGTGCCTGAGTCCCACTCTACCGCCACCATCCCCCCAGCCCTCCTCCGCCTTTGAGGACTTCTTCGAGATCGATTCCGCTCCCTCGAGGCCTATGAGCGAAGCCTTCATGTCCGGTACTTCAACACCCAACGGTGCCTTGGGCTCCCGACCGCCAACCTTGACCGAAATCCTCCTCGATGCCGCCTCGCCACCATGGAGCCTCACTGCCTTTATGGCTTACCTCTCCAACAACCACTGCATGGAGAGCCTTGAATTCACCCTCGACTCTCAACGCTATACCGCCATCTTCAATGAGATGATTACCGATAATCCGAACCCAACTCAAGAGGACCACGATCGTGTTTGTGCTTTGTGGGAGAAGCTTATGCAAGTCTACATCATTCCGTGCGCCCCGAGGGAGGTCAACATCCCCGCACGCATCCGTGACGAGCTGCTCAACCTTCCTTGCGGCCCTGCTCCCCCGCATCCATCACAGTTGTCTGAAACAGGTCGGATTCTCTACGAACTCATGAACGATTCACTACTGGTTCCCTTCCTCCAGTCTGTAGCTCCCATGCAGCTTGATGGGCCTTCAGATGAACATGCCCGTGGATCCCGACGATCTTCAAACAGCAACGGCCGCATGGGCGCGCCAGTCCGATCGATGAATTCGATCCACCACATTGAGTCCGACTCTATGACCGATGATAGCGACTGCAACTCTCCCCCCGGCATGGAGCCAATGACTCCCCCGACAACCCCGCCCATCTCAGAATGGGGCTTCACCACCTCTCCTGGAGGTCTTCAGCGTGCCGTGGCTGCACACAACAAAGGCTGGAAGAAGATGGGTGCCAAGTTGGGCTTCAACAGAAAGAGCTCAAGGACTCGCTCTACCCCAACATCATCTCACCCCACTCCGGAAGGCCTTCACCTGCATCATGACTCTTTATGAGGGTCACAGGTCGTGTCGTTACCTGAATCGCCCAACCAAGCTGACTGGACCGATGAGGACTCGCAAGAGGACCAGAGGCCAGAAAGCTCGCACCCTGGTCACCTACTGCCTGGCTCCATCCAGACAGACCTCGGTTGGAACCGCAACCCTGACCTCAGACAAGATGGTGGTTCTAGGGACGGCACGGCCGCAAGACCGGAATCTGCTCGAAACTGTGGGAAAACAACTCTTGTCCAGAAGAATATCAGGATGAGAAGACGAATTCCCAAGACTTCGGAGCCGATGGCTTCCTTGCAGCCAACAAGTATACCTACATGTAACGGGCAAGAACACAAGGTACCAGCCTCTTACTACCGTTCTAGGCCCCTTGTGGCATCACTTTCAGCGTCTTCGCTCGCAGCGGACAGCGATCAAGAAAGCATGATGTTTTGTTCGACACCCTTGAGCGACGTGTCCAACTACCTTCCAAGTCCCGTCCATAGCAGTGAGGACATGTCGTGCCCAACGACTTTGGATAGCGAATCATTCCGCTATGCATCCCCTATCCAGGACATGTACGGATGGGACGCTGAACTCGACCGACGGAACTTCACGCCCAGCCGTTCCTCTATGGGTTCCAGTGAAGGATGTGACGACATCGCTCTCAGCTACAGACGGGCCAACGGCAGCAAAGCCAGCTTGCTCCAGCGAGTTTTCCGCGTTGGCTCGTCCTCTTCGATGAGTAAGTACGAGACGGTGGTCTGAGGCGTTCTCTGACCTGACCGTCCTCGTCTTTCTCTTTTCTTGTCTTTGCTTTGTTTTCCCCAACTTTTACTTGCTTTATCCAGTGTTGGATCTTTGTTGCATGCGCGAACATTATACAGGATACTCATAGAAGGTCATGGCGACGTATAGCAGGCGAGGCGTTGTGGATACATTTGTTTTCTTGTTTTCACGGAGCAGCATTATCGGTTTGGGTTGGCCAGGTTCTTCTCTTCTTTGGCGAGATTATTCGGCACTGGATGTACGCACCAGGCCTCTTTGGGAGTTTTCAGGAAACGATGAGACTACATTTACACGGGGTGATAAACGACCAGGCGGGCGCAAAGGGATGCCCTGGATTGCCGGTCTGACGATGATACGGCCTTTTTTACGCATGTTGGATGAGGTTAAGGAAAAGAAAGAGAAGGACAGACAGGCAGTCTTGTCCGCCTACCTAGGTAACCATGGCACATCTTGATACCTCCCCTTCTGGTTGGGAGGGGATTGACTAGACGTAATGTCTAAAATATACAAAAAGAATCTGCCTCGCCACTTTTCCTATCCCGGCTGTCACATTCGTGAAGTTGAATAACCACGCTCAAGATGTTTATCAAGAGTAGCGTGACCTATAGTTGAACCTTGGCAAGGGAGGTATGTATGAGTGGCGCCAGCAACATGTCAGTTGAGCATTCTGTGGAATGTCTCGGGTCGATGGTGAGCGAAATGGGCACCTCAGATCCAGTCTGGATTTCCTTTTCTTATTCTTTCCAGTGGGAGGAGATACTGCCTATCCAAGTTGAAAACTAATTAGATACTTTTACGTCCTCAATGGTGTCTTTCACCCCTCCGCCTCCGGGGCTGATGCTCCGGTGTGATGCCCTCCAACCCCTTTTCACTGAGGTTTGCTGATGCTAAACTCGGCCTGACTCAAGAGATCCAGCGTCGTGGCTATTGGAGACGAGTATGGCGTCTTCTGTATGATGCATCAAGTCGATCGACATCCTAGTCGCCTGTTGGTTGTTCATATGACTGTCCTCGCAACTGTAGGCAACCCCTCAATCGTCCTCCGATGGCTTATCGTGACGCGAATACATCTTCCACTCAAGAGAATTGGCAAAGTCGAGCTTCCCTTGCTCGACCTGCTTACGCGTCGTTGTGAGCATGGGCTTTGGTAGACCCATCGACTCTAGGTAGGCAACAGCTAGAGGAGTGAGGTTAGCAGAGGTCCCACAATAGGCAGAAGCAGATAGGAACAGAGAAACAACACGTACCTTCTTTCCACTCGTGATCTTGTCTCTTGCGATCCCACTTGAGCTCTTCAGTCATAACGTCCACGACCTTGGGCAGGGCTTCGAGAGCAGCCTGGGCGTTGAGGAACGCCAATCGTGTGCGCCGGGCGAGGACGTCAACAGCAGTTTGGGCATACTCGTGTCGAACAGCGTAGCGAATTTCACCATCAACAAAGGGGTACAGCTGGGAGATGCGCTCGCCGCGAGCAGGGAATCGCTTGTCTGTGAGCTTGCAGAGAGAGGCAACAGTCCAGGCACGATCGCCATAGGACTCAGTCAGATGCTTTGCCACCTCAGTCTCGACGCCAAAGTGTTGAATGAGAGGGATGAAAAGTGTGTTGCTAAAGCCGTGAGCACCAACAAGGCGGACCTTGTGCGTTTGGCATGTACCGTCAAGGATCGCGCCGTCGTCAATCATCTCAGTTCCGCTGACTCGAGGAGCATCTCGGACCGGCTTCGGCTTGAGTCCGAACTCATCGATAGCAGCATCTACACACTCCTCGGCCATCTGACGGTAGGTTGTCCACTTACCACCAGCACAGGTGAGCAAGCCTGACGGGGCCACATCAATCAGGTGGTTGCGAACCAGAGACTCCGTGTTCTTAGCCTTAGGATCCTTGACCAGGGGGCGAATACCAGACCAGGCAGCGAGGACATCGCCTCGGCGCACATTGATTTCAGGAGACAGATAATGGCTAACCTCGCTCAAGATCCACTCGATCGACTTCTCGTCAGGGAGGGGGTTAGGTGAAATGGTGGATGGGGAGTCGGTGGTACCAGCGATGGTGTTGCCTTGCCAGGGGAGGAAGAAGATAACTCGGCCATCTGACGTCGAGGGATCGATCAAACCCATCTTTCCAGGGCTGAAGTAACCAGGTAGAATGACGTGAACTCCAGAAGCCGGGGCAACAATTTCCTTGCAATTTCGGTCGTCCATCTTGCGAATCGAGTCGGTAAAGGGTCCAGTGCAGTTGATGACACTCTTGGCGCGGACGGTGATATCCTCCGCAGGCCGACCATCTTTGGCTGCGACGAGATCCTTGACCTTGGCGCCGCAGAGCTTTCCCTGATCATCCTTCAAGAGACCCGTGACCTCGGCGTGGTTGACAACAGTTGCACCATAGAGAGCGGCAGTCATGGCGATGGATACATTCATACGTGAGTCGTTGTGGGCACCGTCATAGTAGACGAGAGCGCCAACCAGGTCTGTTGGCTTTAGCATGGGAAAAGCCTCGAGAGCTTTGCTGCGGGTGAGGAAGTAGGAGCTTTCGATGCCTTCGCTGCCAGCCAGAAAATCGTAGAACTTGGTACCAGCCCAGTAGTAGGGTGCTTTCCACCACTTGTCGAGGGGTAGCATGATGGGCAGCCAGGAGCTCAGATGAGGGGCCGTCTGGAGGAAATACTTGCGCTCCTTGAGAGCCTCCTTGACCAGCATGTATTGGCTGTAATCGAGGTTCCAAACTGCCTTTTCGAGGTAGCGCACTCCGCCGTGTACAAGCTTGGTGCTTTTGCTGCTGGTGCCGCTACTGAAGTCATCGCGCTCGACCACAGCAACTTTGAGGCCACGAGTAGCAGCGTCGAGGGCGACGCCAGCACCAGTGGCGCCGCCTCCAATAATGAGCATATCATACTCCTGAACGTCTGGGCGGGAGCTCTCGCGAAGGTGGTTTAATTGTTCGTTGCGCGACTTGACGCGGGGGAACCGAGGAAGTTTGAAGGTGCCATCTGCGCCGAAAGTAGGGGGCGGAACAGCAGGAGACGAATGTCCAGTGAAATCGCGGGGCCGGTAGCTGTAGAGCAGGACAGCACCGGATGTAGCAACTGCACCGGGGAGTAGGAAGCGGCGAAAGATGCCGGATCTTGCCCCACCGGCGGGCGACATGGCGAGCTTAAAGCCGCGCTGAAGCTGAAGCTTCGAAGCTTAAGACGATGCTGGAGAGTGTAGGATTCGAGAAGAGCGGGAGCTCCTAAGGCGTAGATGAAGCAATTGGTAACTGTAGGTATTCAAAATATCGCGAGAGTGATTAGGGAGAGCTCGCAGGTTTCTCGGCGAGGGAGGATGATAGGGTGGGTGTTTGAGAGAGGAAGAATGATTAAGATGGTCACCAACGACGCATTGCGAAGTAGGAGAAGGAGATGAAAGAAGAAGAATAATCGAAGTGGAAACTAAAGAGCTAATGAGAGAAAATGAAAAGGAGAGTGGGGGAAACTGAAAAGTGAGAAGCTGATGGATGGATGCGCGCGAGTCGCGACTCGGGTCGAGTCAACTGCTTTGCTTTGACACATGCAAGACCGGCAGCGCAACTTCTCTTCTCATTGTGCCTGCCCTGCCCTGCGGTACAGGAGGAGGTGGTGGACTCGGGGGTACGTCACTGGATCAATTGTTGTGGGGGAAGGTGGGAACTTCGTGGGAACGGCGCTTCCCTCTACTCTTCCCCTCAAGGTTTTATCCCGCGTTCGGCCCGGGCAGCAAAGCATGTGGCTAATTAGATTACGCATACCAGAGGTAATCCCTAGCCAGATGTACTTTTTCTCACTCGACAATGGAGTCGTTGACGCTCTTTGTTCATCACGAGGTCCAACGCCGGCTCATGGATGGATACAAGTGCCGTTTGAGGGGAATTGGAGATTCGATCCGCTAGGACAGGGGTAGTTTGGTTGCTTCCTGTCCGTCCCATCACTTGGCTTCCATGCTTGCTTGTGTGGACCCTCGTTGGCGGCTGAGTGCTCTCAACTTTGGGGGCAATGTTATCTGTCAATGGGGGAGACTGTGCCGTTGTGCCTTGCATTTTCATTCCCTCAAGCTCCGGATTATCCCTCGCATGCATCCGATGCTCACCCGCCTCGTCCCACATCGCCTTTCATTACCTTTCAACGCCTCGTGGCTGGCGGGTGAGGCCGTAATTACATACATACATACATACATACATCCAACAGGTAGGCTGCACTTGCCTGCTCATGCAACGCAGATTGGGGGCATCTGCTCTCGTGGTTGAGACGATGCTTTTTCCACCAATCAGAAGTCCCACTTAGCCCTTCCTTCGTCCATCCAAACCCCCATTCCCCTCCCCCATCTCATTCTCGCTTCTCCCCCAAAATCGCAAAAGCAACTCCCCGCAACATCAACCCTCCGAGCCTTACGGATACTCGCATTGACATTGTCCCGTCAGCTGATGTTCTCCGGAGTTCCGGTCTTCAACAAAATCATCAATTGCCTGATCCATTATTCCGGTTCGAACCGGCGACCAATGTTATGTTATGTACAAGGTATCTTCTATCCTGGTCCCGTCTATTGCCGTTCATTTCATCCGCCCCAACCAACCAACGCCATCGAATCAACGGCCCAACACATCTCTGGATCCTCCATTCAGAAATTCAGGAAGATCCAAAAGGGGCAAGAAATATACAAATATTCACATCAATGCGTGCGAGTGCACAAATTACTCCTGGTTGGAACCCCGCGTTCCACATCTCAGCGGCTCTCCACCGTCTCTGCAAACAAGACATCCACAAACGACGCGAAATGGCCCGGTCCATTGCGTGACCCTACATCGGCTTGCACATTGGTTCCGATGTGACCCATTGACTGCAGCTCGATACCTGCTGCCGGAGATGTCGCCGAGTTCGTCTTCTCCAATGTGATGGTATCCGAACTTTCGGAGCCCTTGCTCTGAATCCTTCCTGCTTCTTTTCCTTCTTCAACATCAATGGTGA